AACAGCCGGAGGCCAGGGTGTCCCAGCAGATGGAGCAGATTACCATGCAGCTGGACCTGACTCCTAGTGTGTGGGAGGAGGGAGAGGAGGCAGCTGCAGAGGGTGGTGATAAAGAGAAGGTGCAGGAGGCACCTGCTGGTGGAGGTGATGGTGTGGAGATTAGCGGTAGCACTAGTGGAGCTGCTGGATCCGAGGGAGGAGAGCAGCAGCAGGGGAAAACTAAGAAGCCGAAGGGTGTTGTTATGAAGGGATGGGAGACACCCGTCTCCAGGCCAGGACGTACCCGTATGGCTACTAAGAAGCTGACTGCAGGAGCTGATGTAGCGGAGCAGCAGCTTGGGACCGAGGAGGCATTGCTGATTCTACCGCATGGCTATGACCCGGATGAGGAGGATCAACCTGCGTACTGTTTTCTTGCCCCTGCACCAGAGGAACCAGCTAGCATGGAGGAGGCATTAGCTGGACCAGATAGGGACAAATGGCTAGCTTCCAGGGATGCTGAGTACCAGAGCCTGCTGGAGAATGGGACTTGGGAACTAGTGGTGCTGCCTGAGGGAAAGAAAGCGGTACAATGCAAGTGGGTGCTAAGGATCAAGACTGACGACAAGGGGCAGGTCACCATCTACAAGAGTAGGTTGGTGGCTAAGGGGTTTATGCAGAAGGAGAAGCGGGACTTCAATGAGATCTTTGCTCCCACTGCCAAACCCCCTACCCTTCGTGTCTTGTTGGCAGATGCAGCCGTTAGTGGGAAGTTCATTATCCAGATGGACATATCAACGGCATTTCTCAACGGGATTTTAGAGGAGGAGGTGTTCATGACGCAGCCACCTGGGTATGAGGATGGTACGGGCAGGGTGTGCAAGCTGAAAAAGTCCATCTATGGCTTGAAGCAGGCGCCACGCTGCTGGTACCAGAAGTTGGCAGCTGTTTTAGAGGAGATGGGATTCAGGACCAGCAGCTGTGATGAGAGCCTCTTTCTCAAGGGGGAGGGGGAGAAGCTGGTGCTGTTTCTGGTCTATGTGGACGACATTCTTCTCTTTAGCAGCAGCATGAAGGAGATCCAGAAGGTGCAGCAGCAGCTGATGGAGAACTTCAAGTGCAAGAACCTTGGGGAGGTAAAGTACTACCTCGGGATGCACGTGGAGAGGGATCTGGATCACAGGTGGTTGAAGCTGCACCAGGAGAAGTTCATCAAGGAGCTTGGGGAGAAGTATGGGATTGAGAATGAGCGCAAGGTTGCAACTCCCCTGCCAGCAGAATTCAAGCTTGTGAAAGCTGCAGAGGATGAAGGAGTTGAAGCCGAGGAGCAGCAGCAATTTCAGTCCTTGGTGGGCAGCCTCTTGTATGCAGCAGTTCACACGAGACCCGACATCTCTTTCTCGGTTGGGCAGCTGGCTAGGGTAGTGCAGAATCCATCAGAGGAGCAGGTGGATGCAGCTGAGCGTGTGGTGAAGTATCTGAACTCTCACCCAAGCATTGGAGTTCAATACTCCGCATCTGCACAGGTGAAGCAGAAAGGGGTTGAGGTGCTGAAAGAGAAGGGGGAGAGGCTTGGAGAAGGCAAGCTTTTTCTCACTTGCTTTACCGATGCTACGTGGGCCTCTGAGAAGGAGGATTCCTCATCTGTGGGAGGATACATCTGCGTAGTTGGGGGAGGACCGGTTAGTTGGAGGTCAAAGAAGCAGACGGAGACAGCACTCTCTTCCGTGGAATCAGAGTACATGGCGATGTTCCATGGGGTGAAGGAGGTGATTTGGCTGAGGAGGCTGTTGGAGGAGATTGGCCAGGAGCAAAAGGTTGCTACGCCGCTGTTTTGTGATAGCAAGGGAGCTCTTGGGATGGCCAGGAACGCTGTGCTTCATGGGCTGAACAAGCACATGCGTATCAAGTGGCACTGGCTGCGTAAGGAGGTGAAGAGGGGGACGGTGAATCCGATCTACATCAAGACTCACCAGCAGCCAGCAGACTTCCTCACCAAGAGGCTTGCGGATGAGCCTCATTGGCGTTGTGTGCGCATGAGTGGAATAAGCATGAACTAGTATGGAATGATGGGGATGCAGCCGGCAGGCTGAGGGGGAGTGTGTTGGGTGCAAATTCACATTGCACGACATCCTGCCGTCTGATTGTACGAGTATGCGTATGCGAATGCATTTGCGTGTGAATGGTATGTTCGTGTGTTTGTTTGCTTTCGCAATTTTCGCTTCAAACATTTGCAGGTACTCGCACAATGTGCGCTTCGGCTTAACATTGTACGCGCTATGAACAGTACAAGCAGAAAGGACGAGCTCGCAAAGGAACCCAAGATGGAAGCTTTGTGGTTCGACTTACTTGATTGCGCAGATTCAGTTCTATCCAACTCGAAATTGTACTGTTTTGTTTGGTTGACTATAGTGTAGCAGGGCAGGCACTATAGGGGTACAATTTAGGTGAAGGTTGGATGTTGTTTGTCTGTATCTGCATGCTACAGGGCCAGGGGAAACCAGCGGAACCAGCATTTGGCTGGTTGGGCAAAGACAAAACAGGTTCTGCTTTTAGGACCTGAACCTGGTTGTTGTTTTTCCAGGTTGGAAAAACAGAACCAGAGGTTGTTCACCAACCTACCACCTGCTATTTTGTCCAGCCAGGTTGGTTCTGTTGCTTGGAATTATTTGGGATGATCCCTGGTTGTTCCCAGGTTCATTCCCAAGGTCCTTGCTAGCTAGAACTATTTATTCCTACTCTGTTTGTACCTGGATATAGTCAAATTGATTCAAGCGAATTCCTTCCTTGCTGGAATTTCTTTTCTACGCGGTGCGACGACGGAATGCTACCCGAGTCAACGCTAGTACGCTAGCACTCCAACGCTAGGCTAACGCTGTCCGAGCCATAACTTCGTAATGGCAGAACTTTTCGCGAGGCAACTTGGCTTATTTTAAAGCTCTTAGAGTGAGCTTCGATATAGGAAATTCTCAGCTTAATCCGGTCGACGGTCTGCACGATACGCTGCGCGACGCTCAAGGTACTCTTGCTGTTTTGACTAAGTCCCTCTTGATCCCTCTCTCTACAAACTCGGACCCGAGGATAGGGGCTGGTCTTGTACCAGGCACCCAAGGACCCTTGGAGGTGACCCCGAGGAGAGGTTTTAAGTGTGATAAAGTCTTAATAGCTTGAGTTTATTAGGCCCTTACACCAACAGTACGCGCTATGAACAGTACAAGCAGAAAGGACGAGCTCGCAAAGGAACCCAAGATGGAAGCTTTGCGGTTCAACTTACTTGATTGCGCAGATTCAGTTCTATCCAACTCGAAATTGTACTGTTTTGTTTGGTTGACTATAGTGTAGCAGGGCAGGCACTATAGGGGTACAATTTAGGTGAAGGTTGGATGTTGTTTGTCTGTATCTGCATGCTACAGGGCCAGGGGAAACCAGCGGAACCAGCATTTGGCTGGTTGGGCAAAGACAAAACAGGTTCTGTTTTTAGGACCTGAACCTGGTTGTTGTTTTCCCAGGTTGGAAAAACAGAACCAGAGGTTGTTCACCAACCTATCACCTGCTATTTTGTCCAGCCAGGTTGGTTCTGTTACTTGGAATTATTTGGGATCATCCCTGGTTGTTCCCAGGTTGATTCCCAAGGTCCTTGCTAGCTAGAGCTATTTATTCCTTCTCTGTTTGTACCTGAATATAGTGAAATTGATTCAAGCGAATTCCTTCCTTGCTGGAATTTCTTTTCTACGCGGTGCGACGGCGGAATGCTACCCGAGTCAACGCTAGTACGCTAGCACTCCAACGCTGGGCTAACGCTGTCCGAGCCATAACTTCGTAATGGCAGAACTTTTCGCGAGGCAACTTGGCTTATTTTAAAGCTCTTAGAGTGAGCTTCGATATAGGAAATTCTCAGCTTAATCCGATCGACGGTCTGCACAATACGCTGCGCGACGTTCAAGGTACTCTTGCTGTTTTGACTAAGTCCCTCTTGATCCCTCTCTCTACAAACTCGGACCCGAGGATAGGGGCTGGTCTTGTACCAGGCACCCAAGGACCCTTGGAGGTGACCCCGAGGAGAGGTTTTAAGTGTGATAAAGTCTTAATAGTTTGAGTTTATTAGGCCCTTACACCAACAATAGTGCCTGCCCTACTACACTATAGTCAACCAAACAAAACAGTACAATTTCGAGTTGGATAGAACTGAATCTGCGCAATCAAGTAAGTTGAACCGCAAAGCTTCCATCTTGGGTTCCTTTGCGAGCTCGTCCTTTCTGCTTGTACTGTTCATAGCGCGTACAATGTTATGCCGAAGCGCACATTTTGCGAGTACCTGCAAATGCTTCAAGCGAAAATTGCGAAAGCAAGCAAACAGACAAACATACCATTCACACGCAAATGCATTCGCACACGCATACTCGTACAAACAGACGGCAGGATGTCGTGCAATGTCAATTTGCACCGAACACAAGGTGCAATCTGTCCAGCAGGGTGGGAGAGAGGGAAGAACACAAGCGGAGCCGGGACAGCCACTCCCAGGTGCGAACGTGCCACCCGACAGAGAGCCGCTGAGACTGTCGCCGCTGGGCCACACTCATTGAAGACGTGTAGGAGGGTCTCAAGGGGTCTTGGTGGACAGCGTCGACAGCTGCCACTATCTTCCATGAAACGGAAACGGGCACCTGTGGGAAGGGCATGCGCAAAAAGGCGGAGGAGGAGGTCGCAGGATCGACTGGGCTGCTCGCGGAGGAAGGGGTGTGTGAGCGAGGGCAGTGCAGGGACAGGGAGCTGTAACGCAGTCGACCAGGCTTCCTGTAGGGAGAGCGGCTGAGGGCGGTAGAACTGTTTGCGAAGGACTGCTAAGGATGGTGGTCCTGGGCGGAGCAGGTCTATGCGATCGGCTAACCCAGCACCGGAGCAAAAGGGTCCATGGATCCATCTGTCACGGACGAGGATGGTGAGAAGGGCACGTTCGGGGACGACGCAGCAGCTGACGGGCTCCCTACCTACACGTCTACAGCTGATGTCGTACCTATCTGCTACCACCAGATCGCCTGGGAGTGTAACGCGAACCTGCAGTAGTTGAGGAGGAGAGGGGGGAGGAGGGGAGACAGGGACAGTCCAATCTCCTGCAGACAAGGATCCCAGAGGACGTTGAAAAGGGAGGAGGACCTCCCACCAGTCCAGAGGAACCGCTTCGGTAATGGCAGTGAGGATACGTCTGCTACAGGGGAAACGGGCAGTAGGGAATTGACGGAAAATTTCAACTCTGGAGAGGCGACGAAGACCAGACTCTGTGGGGGTGAGGAGATGTCCGAGGCGGAGTTGGAGGGTGAGGAGAGGCAGTTCTTCTTTGAGACCACCAAAGGGTTGCCCATCCGGCTTAAGGAGAAAACGATTAAAGGGGAGGGGTTCTGCCAGTAAGACCCAAGGCTCCAAGCGTGGGGGGTGTATGAGCGGGGACATGGCCAGGAAGGACTCAAGTTCAGCCCTGGAACGAGGGGGGGTGGAGACAGGGAGACTTCTCAAGATGAGGGGATGGAGAAGGAAGCAATGGAGTCCGAAAGGCAGGGTGGAGCAGCTCCGCGCAATGTCCTCAAACGGGGTGGGCCGGAAGCGGCGGCAGGCTCGCTGGACGTTGAGGGCAGATACGTACTGCGAGGGTTCAAGTCCGCCGATCCCACCGTGTTGTTTTTTATTATAGAGGATGCGTTTGGTGAGAAGCCGGGAGACGAGGCCAGTGGAGTGATGCTTGCTGGCGGAGAGGAAATTTCCAACGAGCATGTCCAGCTGTTTAAGCAAGTGAGGGGGAGGAGGCTGAAAGCGGCCGCCGAAGGCAATCAGGGGGATGACCCTCTCAGTGACAAGGGCAGCGCGACACGAAGCAGTGAGGTGAAGTTTAGAGAGAAATGCGATGGTGGATGAGGCTTTGGCGAGAATCTGTTCCCACGTCCTGACTACGGGTTGGGAATGCTGAACAAACACACCCAGAATACGTTCAGCGTCTTCAGGTTGGCGCACCGGAATGGGGCCTGCGTGCGAAATCTGCTGATGCGGGATATTGAAGGGGAGGATGGAGCACTTATTCCAGTTAGGCTGTTCCCTGGAGACCAGGGCAAAGGAGTCCAAAAGCTGGGAGGCAGTGTGAAGTTCGGAGTCTGAGTTGAGGAAAATTGAAATGTCATCGG